GTGTGCGCATGTCAAAGTGTGTGGGGCGATCTGAATTAAGAATACTTAGGTTATTTGTGAAGAGGAAGCGTTCTAGAGATCGGCCTCGGGAGTTGGTGGTAGAGTCACCCCACAGAGTGTGGCGGCAGTTGAAATCACCAACTATGAGGAAAGGTGGTTGAAGTGTCAAAGGCAGTCACCAACTATGAGGAAAGGTGGTTGAAGTGTCAAAGGCAGTCACCAACTATGAGGAAAGGTGGTTGAAGTGTCAAAGGCAGTAAAGTCAATGGGATGGGATGGGGAGAAGTAGACTGAAATCACTGTGATCCAGCGGCGAAAAAAAGATGCGAATAGCTGTGCACGGGACAGTAGTTTGTATGGGAGGTATGACATAAGGTGTTTTATGATGGATAAGTATAGACGAGACATAAAGGGAGTGTGGGAAGAGATAAAATGGTAATTGGGAATTGGAATAGGAGGGTGTGTGAGGAAAGTCTCTTGGAGGCAGATAATAGATGGATTATAAGAAGCAAGGATATGACGTAGGTCTGATCTATGAGAGCGGAAACCGCGAATATTCCAATGTAGGAGAGCTATATCCTAGTTGATTTATGAATGATAACACATGTACGTGTTGGGGAATTTGAAGGGGAAGGAGCTAGGGGGTGTAAAGGAGGGATATTAGGAGGTAGGGAATCTGGAGAAGGGCATTGTTGTGCCATGAGTGATTCTCGTGTGTATCCGGGAGGGAGTGCAAAGGATAGAGGGGATGGAGGGAGGGAGAATGTGTCTATATTTGGGGTTGAAGGGGGTGGGTTGTGTTGGGAGGGAGTAGATGTGTGGGGAGTATTAGCGTTAGGAGGATGAATATCGGAAGGATGGATAGTTGGAGTTGAAGGGGATGTGTTGTCTTGGGAGGGATTAGGAGGAAAGGGTGTAGGGGTGCTGTGAGTAAGAGGGGATGCATATCAGGAGGATGGGTATTGGGAGGATGGATATCAGTGGTGGATGGGATTGAGGGGGTTAGGTTGTGTTGAGAGGGAGGAGGAGGAAGGGGTGTAGGGGGAATATTAGTAGGAGGGGTATGAATATCGGCAACAACTTCAAGTGTGGAGGGAGCATGAGTTATGGGATCTTGTGTTTCAAGCATATAGCTTTGAATGTCATCCAGTGAAGTTTGTTGGAGTTTTGTGAGAAGGTAATTGTTTTTGCAATGGAATTGGTTGGAGAATTTTGTGGAACAAAGGTTTTCTTATGAGGGGGGGAAGAGGAGACTGGTGTCTCAGGAACAAAGGTATAGGTAGGTGGAGGTGACTGTGCTGTAGGGGAAGAAGGGTTAGAACGTTTAGTCTGTCTACTGCGAGTAGTGCGGGGAGGGAGAGTGGTTGGTGTTGGGGCTGTAGTTGAGATAGCTGTGGTTGAGATTGGGGTGTCTGGGTTTAGAGTGGCAAAGGAATTGGTCTGAGGGATGTAGAATGTAGAAGTGGTAATGGGGACATTTTGAGGTGGAGGGGGAAGGGCTGAGCGAACGATGTTGCTAGAATATGGAGTATGAGAGAAACCTTGTCGACGTGCTTCCTGTCTGGCTTCACGTAAAGTGTGACCATTTTTGTATCTGAGAGTTGCTACCTCAGATTCAAACTTGACAGCCTCTATAAAATACATTATGGGGGCCGCCGCAGTTAGCACATGTTCGTGTTTGTGCTGAGCAGTTTGATCGATTATGACCAGGTTGGGCACATGTGGGGCATCGGTCTGTGGAACGGCAATGTTTGGCAGGATGTCCACCAATGTAGATACGTACGGGAAGGTTATGTGTACGGAAGGTAATTTTGGCAATATTGGTCGGATTCTTTTGTTGACCTTTAGGAGGAATGGTGTAGCAATGTACTGATTTCACAGCTTGGTCTTTGAGGCATCCTAATAAGTCTTCTCCACAGTCTGACCAATCTTTGGTATCGACTAGGCAGTTTGCTGGGGAGAGAGAGACAGTTCCGGTACAGGTATTAAGGGTTGGATGAGGTTCTGCAGGAATGGGGTTGCCAGAATGATTACTTAAATTTGAGTGCTATAGATTCAGTTTCTGATCTGACTGTTACCAGACGGGAGCGATCGCGTCTGGTATAAAAAGGGACTCTGCCTACTTGTTTTTGGAGGCATTGTTGAAAGAGAAGAGTGTTGCCTGAGTAAGGAGCTGTAGAAGGGATCACGAAAAATCGATCCCATTTAGCTGGGCTAAACAGAGTATTTAAGATATCTGTAGGGTTGGTGGTGGTGGATGGTCGGGGACGTGTGGAAGAGGGAGTATTACGGAATGATGGAGAATAAGGTTGCAAGGTAGTAATAAGGGAGGATTGGTTGTTTGATGAAAGTTGCAGGGGTGGAGTTGAATTAGAGGAAGTTGGGTGGGTAGGAATGTCTTCTGGAGATTGATTCTCTGCTTGGGTGGGTAATGCACTAGTAGGCATTGAGGAGTGGGCAGTAGTTTCAGTGTTCGGAGCCGTGGTCAAAGGAGAGCCTGGGTTGGGGCTATTTGATAAAGGGGCTAGCCTCATAGCCTCTAATAAAGGGATTACATTTTCATTACTGGTCATGGGGTACCTGGATTACGTAAATAGGCCTAATCGATCCAACTCCTTTCGCTACTGAAGGTAAGGGCTAGATTAGTCAGGAGAACCGTGCCCATAGTTCCCGCAGGCCGTTCAGGAGTGGCACTAGGTCAGCCTTTTATCCTCTCAGCACGGCTCTCCCACCTTAGGAAGTAGATAGCAGAAGGGGATGGAAAAGAGACGGAAACAAAAGCTGGAGAGGAAAAAGACCATGCAAAATTAGTTGAGCCGAGGGCTGAGGCCCTAGGCAGGGGAGATCCCTGTATTGGGTCTCAGTCTTCGTCTCCTAAGCCCCCCCACGACAGCAAAGGGCAAGGGATTGGGGGGGGACTCTCTTGATACTACACTGCCACTTCCATCCCCTGCTCCCATGTCTTAACCCCCAGACATCCTTACCTCTCGGACATACATTACCACCCATAATAGCTGTTGAATGATCTGCAATGGCTCTGCTGCAGTGGAACATTAGAGGCTTTCGTTCACACAGACCTGACCTCCGCCATCTTCTCTCCTCTTGCAATCCATCTATCGTCTGCCTCCAAGAAACCTTCCTCACACATCCTCCAGTACCACTTCCCAACTACCATTTTATGTCACTCCCTCTCTCTATATTTGCCCCTTCCATACTTGTCCATCATAAAACACCATATATCATACCTCCTTTACAAAGCACCATACCTTGCAGAGTTATCCGGATTTTCCTCAGAAATGCTCCAATACTTCACAACTAATGTTCTAAATACAGCCGATATAACCATCCCTCGAACCTCCCAACCTTATACCTCAAAATGTGTTCCATGGTGGAACCTTGAAAGCGTTTCATTTGAAGCGCGCAGCTTGGAATAGCTACCGACACAAGAGGGGCACCCCCAGTCAATTAACAGCCTTCGTATACTTTAAAAAAGCATCAGCTTTTTGTAAGTATATGAAGGCTTCGCCGTACAATCCATAACTCCATGACAAACAACTGGAAAAACTATGTATCCTCCATAACAACCTCCAAACCAATCTCTGCATTCTGGCGGCGAATCAATAAATTATCCGGAAAATATCCTCATCTTGCCCCTGTCCTCCATATTCATAATAATCTCATCTCTGATCCTCGTCAAGTAGCTACTGAACTTGGTGCCTTTTTCAGCCAAGTCAGTAGTGGCTCTCATCTTTCTCCTCATTTCTCTTCCTTTAAATTGGACAACGAGCGCACTCCTATCTCCTCCCTGTCATCTACAGAACCTTATAATCCACCCTTTCTTCGGAGATCTATCATGCACTTCAGTCATGCTGCAACACCCATGAAAGCCCAGACAATATACATTACCGTATGCTACGACACCTTTCTCCTACTTCCTTATCCTTCTTTCTTTCAATATTCAATAACATATGGACGACTGGAAACTTTCCTCCCCACTGGAGAGAAGCCATAGTACTACCTTTCCTGAAACTTAAGAAAACAGGTACTTTTCCCCAAGACTACTACCGCCACTTACAAGCTGCCTATGCAAATCAATGGAGAGGATGATAAATTTCAGGTTAATGGGAAATACCACAATCATTTCGGATTTCTTTGCGGCAAAAGCACAGCTAATCCACTAGCCTATGTAGAAACATTAATCACATCAGCATTTGCACGCCATGAGTCCATATTAGCCGTCTTTTTTGATCTCGAAAAAGCACGATACTCCTTGGCTGCACCATATACTACAACAGCTATGTCTCCACGGAATAAGTGGAAACATGGATGTTTTTATGAAATCCTTCCTCTTTGACCGTACCTTCCGTGTCAGATTTGCCTTTTCCACTTCCCCCTCTTTTCCTCAATTTGAAGGTGTCCCACAAGGCAGTGTACTGAGCACCACACTGTTCCTCATAGCTGTAAACGGATTAGTTTCCGCTTTACCACCAAGAATCCGTTTATCACTGTATGTAGATGATCTAGCCATCTTCGACTCTGGCCCTTCCATAAAAGTTCTCCATCAAATTATCCAGTCGTCAATAACATCAATCACTTCCATAGCTTTTGTTTCTCTACCTCTAAAATCTGCTCCATCCATTTCTCTTGTTCACGTATAGGCTCCCAATCTCCACTCCTTTATGATTGGCACGAGGTCAACCTTTCATCCTTTCAACACGACTCTTACATCTTAGCAATTAGATTGGGAAAGATAAGAGGGGGGAGATCCCCCGCCTCGGGTCTCAGTCTCCAAAGCCCCCCACAACAACAACGGGCAAGGGATTGGGGAGGGGCGAAGGAAAAGGAAAGGGGGAGTAGAAAAGACCAAGCAAAATTAGTTGAGTCGAGGGCCAAGGTTTAAAGGTCAGGATGATCCCCAACAATGGGCCTCAAGTCTCCGTCTTATAATCCCCAGGACAACAACGAAAACGGGATGGGGAAGAGGACAATAATACGAAATCTTAAATACTACATCTTTATAAAAAATACCACGTGACAAAGATGGGATGTAAAGTTATGGAAAATTTGAATATAGTCTAGCTCTTTACAACTATTCCATACTTTCATCGAAGAGGATACTCTGTAGCCAAGATCTAATAGATTTCCAGTTTCACTTAGCATACTTGGCCATTGCAGTGATGTTTGTGATGGTGGATGGTTAATGGTTAATTTGAATGCTAAAGATGACCCATGCTTGGCAGGTACACTTTCTTCAGTATGTAAAATTGGTCTGATTAATAAATTAGCCTCAACATCAACCATATCAAGTTCACGCTTTAATAACAACTTGCAATTTCAAATACAGGAAGATTTTATTTATATATGTATAAAAACAATGGGGCACATCCTAATGGATCACCATACTACAAATATTGTTGAAATCCACTAAATCTCCATGCCTTGGATTCAACATTAGAATTCTAAACAGGATTTTTACTGAAAGTGAGTAAAACAAGAATATATTTAGAAAAATGTATAAGCAAAACATTTTATGATACTGATATATGTTTTACTACTTATATGGAATATTCTCTAGGGAAAGACATGGGAATTCCACTGAATACCTGGTTTCTTGGTTAGAACTTAATGACTGATTTACTTTAATTATGACAAATGACATACCTACAAAATCTGGTATGTATTTAGTATGAAGTACACATCTAAAGATGTTTACAGCTTCACTACCATCAATCTGACAATGAAACAAGTTAAATATAGTATAGACACACCAGCATTATATATGACACCTAAAGCTAAAAAATCCTTTTTTTCTTTTTTTACACAATTGTCCTTATGAATATATAAAATACTTTATTGTACTTGATGTCAAAACTAACTTTTCACTTAAATGTTTGTATCTGTCTGCACCTACACATAGGTTAATGAGTAGTTGTGTCTTGTTAATAATTTCATTTTCTGTAACCATTGAACAAAACTAGGATTTCTCTTTCTTCAAATAATATATTTTTTTGCATATTTTCAGCAGCTACAGATAGCTTTTACTTCTCATTACAGTTTCAATACTTTCCAAAAGAATATCATACTAATTCAAGTGAATTTCAAAGAACTCTTATATAAATCTGTAACACCTTACAGAAATACTGACACTAACATGCTTCCATCATCCCTATTATCTCTTACTTCTTACTTCTTCCCTCTTCCTCTCCCTCTTCCACTGTTTCCTCTACTGCTGGGTAATCCTTTGCCTTTTACTTTGCCAATTTCTGTCACCTTCTTTTGTCCACCCTTCTTGATCTGTGAATAAAGGTATAACATTTTCTTAAACATCTACTGAAATAAAATATTAGGGGGTATAGTATATGAAAAGAAATGTATAAATCAGTCAGTTTCATATATCAAACCACATACAAAACCCTTCCAATAAGTAATACTTTATGAATCACTCTGACATTACAAGAAACTAGCCTTAATCATGGCATCTGAAGCTACATCATCGGTGTCCTCTTCATCTTCCTCTACTTCTTCCTCATCATACATGTCATCTCCACCCCTGTTTCCCTTCTTTTTGGATATTTGTACAGAAACATATGGACTTGGCTGGCTTTCTTTGTTATAAAGGCGTGTGAAGGCAGCTTTGACCTAGAAATATCACATAATGGTTCATTCTGTTTTCCATAATTGTAGGTAACTCTAATTGAGGTAATATCTTAAATTTCATTATGTTAATAAGACTGTATGATTAATGATTAATGGCTAAAAGAAATGATATGTGCTAGATACCCGAGGTCATAGACCCATGGTAAATTAGTGTGGGAAAAGGATTAAAAATAGGATAGTATGGTGGTGAAAAAGGTAAAGAGCAAATGAAGTAAGGCAGGGATTAGCATAAGAGGGAAGGGGATTAAGGGTGAAGGGGAATTAAATTAAAAGGAGGGTATCTATGTGTCTGAGGAAGGAAGAGGGAACAATGGGTGCCTGAGAAGTAGGAAGAGAAGAATCCAGGGAATCAGATAAGGGCCCAAGGAAGGGTTAAGTATCAGAAATAACATCAGGAAGGGAAGGATCTGGGATGGTACACTTGTGATAGATGGGAGTTATATAAGCAACCAAGAGGGAGCAGAAGAGATAATGGGAAAGAAGGGGGATGGTGCAAATGGATAAGGGGAGGATGGTATAAGTTGGGAAAGGGTGGGAGAAAAGAAGGGTAGGGGGAATATGATGAGGATGAGGATGGATGTAGAAGGAATAAGAGTAGAGAAATTGAAGGGTGGATGAAGAGCAGCATTCCCTTGGGTCAGGTTAAGAAAATTTTGGATGTCCCTAAGAGTTTCTGGATGGGAGTTGGGTGGAAAGGTTAGAGAAACAAAGGTTTTTTAAGAGAAGAAAAAGAAGAGGGGTGGAATGTTTAGATTGCTTGGTGCAATATGTAAAGTGAGAAGGAAGGATGGTAAGGGATACGGAAAAGAGATACTGGGGGAGATGCTGAAATCAGTAGCAAGAGAAAATATTTGATGGTGTGCTTCCTATATGGACTTACATAGAGTGAGGCCAAGTTGAATCTTAGAACTGCTACCACAGAATCAGACTTGAAGGTAGGTTAGCTTCTATAAAATACTTCATACAAGCACCTACAAGTGGCACACATTCATGAATGTGCAGGGCAATCTGAATGCTTTTACTACTAGGTTGAACAATAGAGGGCAGCAGGTTGTTGGGTGACAGTGCTTAGCAAGGTAGCTAAAATGCAAACATTTCCAAAATTGACGAGGGAGGGATAAATATAATTAAACAGAGCAGGACTCTCTATCTATATAAACTTTATGGGAGAAGGTCATATCTATGAAAGGTAATCATGACAATGTAGGCATAAAAGTTGGTGGCCTCTTAGAGGAATAGTATAGCACTATACTGATACTGCATAACGTCAGAGGTAGGCATATACCTATATAGGCTTTTACTTGTAGCAATCTTGCAAACAAATTACTATGATTTGTGAAACAGTATTTGGAGAGATTTTTCTTTCAAAATGTAAATTAACATTTATACATGAAATAGAATTTACATAAAGATTCCCTGGTAATATGCTGTAGTCTAGCAGTACAAAGTATGTATGTAAAAAATATTATGTTAAAGTTAATTATTTTTTAATATTAGAAAAATAAGCGAAAGTCTTTTTATACTGAAAGTGATACTTCATAATGAAAATTTAAATAGATGGAAAGACAGAAATTTAAAAATTGGGTTATTGAATGCCCTTCATAAAAAGTTAAAATAGTAATAATGTGACCTCCATGCACTTCTGGTAAAAAAATGGAAACTGCCAATCACATGCTTCATAAGTGTTTGGACAACTCACCACGCCTTCCAATCCAATTGTTTTTGATTAATAATTTGCAAAGATTATGTATGCAAATGACTGAATACAACTCTAAGCAGTTTCCCCATACATACCCAACAACCATTTTTGAAAGAGGGTTTAGTCCTTTTAAATGAGAATGATGCAAACAACTTAGCCTCATGTGCTTTTTATATATGGACTGTCAAAAAAAAAAAAAAAAATTAAATAATAATTACTAATGCTTTAATAAAAAAGATAAAAACAAATAAATAAGAAAAAAATAGGGATGGGATGAGGATAAAAATTATATAAAAGCAGCACAATTCTGTATTCTATAATGGTAAATGCATTAAAGGATGAGGGTGGGAGGAAGAGAGCAAAGTGTGGAGTAAGGTAGTACTAGTCAGAGGAAAACAACAAGGATGAATAATATTTAGAGAAGGGATGGTATAAAAAGAAAGACTGTGCAGGAGGAGATGGAGTGGAGGGTGTTGGGAAAGAGGAAGGGATCTATTCTGAAGGTTGAGTAACAGCCCAGGTGGATGATTCCAAATGGATCATGTTGGCAGCAAGCATCAAGAAAGGGGTAGTAGTAGCAGTGGTTAGAACCGTAATCAAATTAGAGGTAGGGCTTGGGAAACCAGAGAAGGCCATTTCAGTTAGGCTTGCTCATGAAGGGGTAATCCCCAATGCCCCTAATATGGGTACAAAATCTTCATTATTGGCCATGGTGGGTCTGAAATATGTGGGGAAGACACAAGGGAATATTATGCCCATGGCTCTCTGAGGCCATTCAGCACCAACACAAAGCCAGTCTTTCATCCTTTCAACATGACTCTTATACCTTAGGAAGTGGACAAGAGAGGGGATTGAAGAAGCTAAGGAAAAGGAAAGAGGAAGAACAAAAAAATTAGCAACCCATGGACTGAAGCCCAAGGTAGGGGCGATCCTAAACTGTGGGCCTCAGTTTCCCTTTCGTATACTCCTGCATCATAAGAACATGCATTGGTTTAGGGGGGATATCATATGATTATATACAGAAACGTTAGGTATGCTACTAACCTTGCTATCAACCCTACTCATTGGATCCTTGCTTCCCGGCCACTGACTAAGTTCTAACAAGGATTCCAGGTCCTCTCGCAAGAGATCATAGGTGGTCATAGCTTTTACAGCATCTTGTACACCATCTTGCCCATGATGGATTAAGGGGTTGATCACAGCATTTCTCAGATGCCCACAATAATCCATTCCAACATCTAATTTAGAACCAGAAATCCTGCAGTATACAATGGCAATTTTAATAATTTTTAAATTGTTTTTGAAAATTACAACTATTCATTTATGTCATAATAAGCACCATATGTTTTTTTTCTATCTTTGTACTGGTATTTTCTTTTATTTATCTTATTTATGAAATCTTTAAGTATTGCATACTTAAGCCTCATGTGCATTTGGAGCTCTTGCATGATGCGATCAAATTTGTTGCGACGACTGTTGTTGCCCAGCCATCGTGGGAATTCAATCTGTCCAGCTAAATGCCCAGACATATATTCTCCTGGCAAAACACTGCTGAACATTGCCTAGAAAAACAAGACATCTTACTGAGTAGTACTCATACATAGTAAAATAGTAAGTGAAAAAAGAGTAATTTGCTGAATACATTTATGAAATCTATTATGTAAAAACGCAGATTATAATGCATGAAAAATTCAAATATCACTAAAATCATTAAAGAAATACATAAAGCAGTGTTCTGTAGACAGTATATAAACAAAAAATATATATTTCTGTCTCTCTCCAACATTCCTCTCATGCTTTACTTTAAATTTAACAATATTTATATACATATACACATATATGTACTATGCACATAAAGTTGATAGCTATTTTACAAGGTTCTTTCTCCCATAGGAATATTGGTCTATATTCACTTCTATGGTGAATAGTGTACTGATTTTCAGTGTACTCTTTTCATTTTCATTCATTTTCATGGATCCTTTTTCTTTCTTGTTCCCTTTATGGAAAATTCAATGTTTGCTGTCTTACCTGAGTAGGAAGGAGAGACCATGCATTTTTAGACCTAATGGCTTTCTCTACTAAGTCTCCATCTGCAAGACTGCCTGCAGTTTTGGCAAGCTGTTCCAAAGTCACACGACGATTACCCCTTTTGAAAAAGTGTGGTGTTAGTAATAATAACTTGCCAAAATACTTGTATGTTTCCTTATATATTCATATTACTTTTTACTATCATTTGGGTATCACATCAAAACAGGTTACCTAAAACTGAAATGTCAACATACTTAGCAATATGTGGAACAGCCTTTGGATAATTCTCTTGAACAAAAAGAGGTGCAATGGAATAATCATGGAAGAACAAGTCAGACTTATCATAGAGACTCATTGTTTTGTGGTCAGCTTCAGAGAATACTTTCTTACACACATCCCATGGACCCTGCAAAAGGACGCATCATCAACAAAAGGTAATAATATGCTTTTCCTTTCATTTTAATACTCAGAAAAAATAATAAACAAAATCATACACCCAAAAAAGGCACAAAACATACCATTTTCAGGTCTTTCTTGGCTTTTTCTGCTTCTCGCTTCATATCATTAACCTGTAGATTTTTTTCATTGGCTGACCACATAGAAAGATGGTGAAGAACCTGCCTTATATCCTGGTTTGAGCCTATGATTATCTGATCGAGAGCATCAGGTTTAATCTGGATACCCTCCCGGAAGCATATAGACATCATTGGCCCCTGAAACCAGTGATAATGATTATGACAATTATACAAACTAATTCACAGAAAATAGTCATTCAACTATGTAATCCCTCTTATCCTTTTGAGTGATATGGATGCTGTTCCAAGGTTCTCTCCTTGTTACACCCCAAGGACATGGACTACATTTGACATCCATATAAAACCTGGAATATTCATTGGATCATGACATGGTTATGCATAGATTAAACCCTTTTGTAGGGAATATAAAGGGAGGGTATCTATGTATCTGAGAAGTATGAAGAAAAGAATCCAGGGAATCAGACAAGGGAACAACAGGTACACTTGTGATAGATGGGGATCACATATAAGCAACCAAGAGGGAGCACAAGGGATAATGGGAAAGAAGAGGGATAGTGCAAATGGAAAAGGGAAGAAGGGTGTATGTTGGGAAAGGGGAGAATAGCAGGGTAGGGGGAATGTGATGATATATATATATATATGTATATATATATATATATATGATATATATATATATATATATATATATACATATATATATATATATAATATATATATATATAATATATATAAATACATATATTATATATATACATATATATATATACATATATATATATATATATATATATATAAATATATATATATATATATATATATATATATATATATATATATATATATATGCATATATATATATATATATATGCATATATATATATACATATATATATGCATATATATCATATATATATATATATATGCCATATATATATATATATTATATAATATAATGCATATATAATATATATATGCATATATATATATGCATATATATATATATATATGCATATATATATATATATATATATATATCATATATTATATATAATATATATATATATATCATATATATATATATATATATATATATATATATATATATATATATAATATATATATATATATATATATATATATATATATATATATATATATAATATATATTAGTATATATATACTATATATATATATATATATATATATATATATATACTATGACTATCGCTTCATCATAAATATATATATAATAATATAACTATATATGATATGGGCATATAGTATATATAGCATTATAGCTATATATATAACCTACACTAATAGTATATACTACGTACTAACTAATATACAATTTACTAATACATAAGTAATATATATATTAATATAACATTATTATATATACATAAACTATAATATAGTACATTCTATACACAATATATAATATACAGNCCCGCCTCTTCGATAGAGCGATCGACATCGAAAAAGGTTGATCGTGGCCCGCCTCTGCCCTTCGCGGAGAATGAGGCCGGGCCTGTCTTCATTACCTGACCAAGCGCAGGAAGCTTATTTTCCTTAAACACGAAAATTATGAAAGTATATGAATTTATTATTTTGTATACAGATAAGAAACATGGATATTTTAGTTGAATGCACCAGATCATAGTATTGGTAAGTATTTAGTAAAAAAAATATATATGTATATATATGAACAAAGAATGACAAGGTAAATTGCTGTAATTTTCCTTGGAATAACAATTTTCAGTGCATATCCAGTCTGCCAAACGCGGCAACTTACCCATCTGACTCGTCAACACGCAAGACCGAATAGGTAAAATCCCAAATGCTTAAGTATTATATAATTTAAAGGAAATTCTAAAATGAAACGCATGTGCATATGGTATGAGAATTCTCAAAGGCATGTTTCTTCTTAAACTTAAAGGAGTCAATAAAAAGTAAAATAAATGACATCATAGATAGAACTGATAAATTTCAAGTATTATCAGTTTAACACCAACCTATCCATGAAACGCATGCACGACCTGTCGATGAAGAGGTAAAATCTCAAATATTTATTGCATATCATTCTGCAACTCTTCATTTGCTCATTAAAAAAAATATATATATAACAAATAACGTGAAAATGGTATACGGTTATAACATTTAATTTTAGCCTTAAAAGAGTCAATAAAACATAACAAATGACATCATAGGAAGCAATGATAAATGGGTGATGAATAATAATCATTATTAGCCATGGTGAGCCTGAAACGAGTGGGGGCACGTAACGGTTTACCCCTAAAGGTCCCCATACGGACTAGGAGCTAGGCGTGCCAATAGCTCTCGGAGGCCATCCATGACTGACACAAAGCCAGCACGGTTCTCACATCTTCGGAAGTGGGCGGAAGAAGGGAATGAAGAAAAGAAGGAAAAGGAAAAGGGGCCAGTATAAAGCAAGCCTTTATACTGGCCTGAAAGTGCTATTGGGTGTGGTGTGGGCCTGTCGAGCGTTTCCCTGTTAACTTAGGAGCCACCAGCACTTTTCAGCCTGCATGGATTGATTGCTATCAATCTACGTCACTGTGGAAGAACACTGGGCAATATCAGGGTCACTGACCTTAATTTTGCTGATGATGTTGCTATCTTACCTGTCTAAGGAATTTCTGATGGCGGCTACTGATGCATTCTGCAATGAGGCAAATCCCTTGTCTTTAATGGTTGATGGTTAAAAATAAATGTGCTAGACATCTCAGGTCATATAGCACTATAGGAAGGTATAGTAAAGGGGGATGTCAGGTGATAGTTGCTGTGTCAACTATCTAGAGTAGTGTTGAAAGGTTGAAGATGAGGGAAAAGGTTATGGTGGTTTAGGTAAGGGAGTTAGATCAAGTGAACGATATTTATGCGTCTGAGGAAGGAGAACAGGTTGTCGAGGCAGAAGCTGTGGGATTCTGTAAGGATGTCGGATATGTTGGGAGGTCGGTGAAGGGAGGATAGGTGTGGAAAAGCAGAGGTACGTGCTGTATTAAAGCGTGGACAGGACAAGAGAATGTATGGAACTGAAAGAGGAACATTACATAGAGGACATAGGGGCGGGTCAGAGCGTGACATTAAATAGGCGTGTGTTAGGCGTGTGGCCAATACGTAAGCGTGCAAGGGCCGTCTCCCAATGTCAGTTTTTGTGAAATGGAGCTGACCAAGAGGAGATTGATGGTTTTACGGTATGTATTTTTTTGTTGTGGAGTCTTGACCAAAAAGATTGCCATCGGGTATACAAGAAGGTTTTAAAGTGGGGGTAATAATCCGTAGCTGGAATATGTGAGAAGCATAGTTGAGGTGATGTGGACATTGCGGCATAGCGTGCAAGAGTATCTGCCTGTTCATTGCCAGGGATTCCAACATGGCTGGGTACCCAGCAAAATCTGACAGATTTGTGACGTGTGGATAGATAGAACAACCAGTTCTGGATCTTACAGACAAGGGGATTGGTTGAGTGTATAGACTTTATGAGGGTTAAAGAGTTACGGGAGTCAGTAAAATAGCAAAAGAGGAAAAGGGGGATGAGTATATGCGTCTTAAGGCAAAAAGGAGTGCATACAGGTCTGTAGTAAGGACACTAGATTCAGGAGGGAGGGTGTATTTGAAAGCGTGATTTGGGAATGTTACTGCGAATCCAGCTCCTGAGATGGATTTGGAACCGTCAGTGTAAACATGAATGCTGGAGGAATGGATGGAGACATGGTCAAGGAAATGAGTGAGAAGGATAGAGGGGGGAATATCTGATCTTGGTGGGTCAGGAAAAACTGAGGAGCAAATACAGGGGTTAGGTATAAGCCATGGAGGAATGGAATGGACAGAAAGTGGGAGAGGTCGGAGGTGAGGAAGGGGGAATGGGAGGGGAGAGTATCCATGCTTACGGGGAGAGGAGTCGGTAAACGTGGAGAAGAGTGTAAGGTTATGTGAATGCGGAACCCAAATGAGGTGATGGGACCAAGCTGAAGGCTAGGAACCATCACGACCTCAAAAGCCAAACTATCCCCGGAGTTGCAGGTCTACCAGGAGTGTAACCAATATGAAGATGGTACATAAAATACAAAAAAGAAATCCTATAATGAACTGTAAAAGTAACCAATGTGCAGAAGGCACCAAAGTAAAACAAATTACTACGTAAAAATATGACAAGTGCCTTAAGGGCTTAATGAAATATGCCAGAAGGGCTTAAAAACAGCTAAAAGAACTGACATCTAAATTAAAATACGTAAAATGACAAAAAAGACGTAGGGGTAAAAGAAAACAAAGAAAAGTAAATGAAAAGATCGTAAAAGCAAAAGTAAAAAGTAAAAGCTGAAGTAAAAGTTCAGGTAAAAGGGTAAAACAAATAAAAGAAACTAGTAAAATAAACCAGTAAAAGTAAGTAAAACTCAAAGTAAGTAAAAAGTAAAAGTAAAGGCACACATGGTTCAAAGTAAAAAAAAAAAAAAAAAAAAAAAAAAAAAGAGTAAAACAATAAAATAGCACGTACCAGCATAAATACACATAGGCAAGTAAACGGGGCAGTACAACCTTGCTTCAGCATTCACGGTGTAAAATCCAGGTAAAGGTAAATCCAAAGGGTCAAGTCACAACACAGTCAGATTATCCACTTCGTTTCTTTCACAAAATGATGGGGGTTACATTGGCTCACACGGATGGAGTGGTAGCGGTAAAAACCATTAAAACAATAAATGGGAAATTTTAAAATAAAAGAAAATATACACACGATAAAAGAACAATTACAAGCAATAAAACATCAAAGGAAATAACTGAGAAAATAATAATTATCATAAAAAAATACGTAAAACCATCTGCGATTCAGAAATAAAAATATTAAAATAAATGACGCTCTCAAAGTAAAAGAGAGATTAAAATGTTAAATAAGAAAAAAAAATAAAAAAATAAAACTGAACTTAGGATAAAAGGAATAAAAAGTACGAGATAAATCACAACACACGAGGATGCCCCCTTATCCGCACATCATGTGAATCATTGTGGGATATCGGCTGATAGCAAACGAATTCAGTGAAACTTTTATTCAAAAATATAGAAAAAGGCGTGAATTAACGTAAAATACATGTAAATAAAACCAGCATAAAACTGAAGTAAAATAAAAGCGTAGAAATCAGGCTAGCTGAGGGAAGTGGTCCGCTGTGCTCGACTCGCC